GCACTTTGGCGGCGAGGGCTTTTAGTGTAACGCACGGCCTCCGCTTGCACTTCGCTGGAACAATTGGCATGACTAACTCCATATATAACAATGCTTTATATAAATACTTTCTTTTCAGAGTGCAAGAGGACGGTTTTGAAATTTGGTGTGATGAGAAAAAAGTTCACTTCTACAAATGTCATGGCATGGGTTACGATGCCATAGAATATCTTCAGATTAATGGTGACTGTACTCTGTCTGGAGTCCACTGGGGTGGAAGGTATGAGATGAAAATTGTTACGGTAATGCATATGTTTTTTATTGCAGGTACTATATTATCCCCTATAAAACAGACTTCCCGGATAGAAAGTTGCGTGCGGGTATGTCTTTTTACACTCGTGACTTTCCCTTAGTGTGGAAACAATCCAAAATTTATATTTCAGGTCAACGCATCCTGATGCATGCTATCCCAAAGGGTAACCGTTGGAATTTAGACCTTCTAGGCAGAGGTGACGATATCCTGTTCCATTTCAACCCTAGATTCAGGGACAAGCAAGTTAGTAGGGGAAAACACCTCCTTATAGGTGGTATACGGCAGTCATACTGTGGCTTCGTTACAGATCGTTCGGAACTCCTTCAAAGGAGGTGAGTGGGGCAGAGAAGAGCGTGAAGGACCATTCCCATTTGAGAAAAATCACGGTTTCAATCTTGAAGTGGAGAATGAACCCTATTCCATTCAGGTGAGCTTACGCGGTGTCCTTCTGTGGGTTAGTGTAGTCTACCGTACGCTCACCATATCTTTATCTTCACATTTGATTCTCAACGATTTGTTACATGAGCAAAAATTTGAGTTGAGTAAAGGTAGAAAGAGCTTAGGTGACGTTCATCTTTATCCTTTGCATAGTATTAGGGTTAAGATAGGAATCGCCAGTTTTTCTTTTTTGGCGTTTTTTTAATGAAAAAATTTGAACTGTTAGAAAAACGTATTGTCATTTTCTTGAAGAAATTTTTTACAGATCTTCGTAAACAACGAGCGCATAGGCACATTTGCACATCGTACACCACATCCGACTGAAGACTACACTGGAATGAGGATTGATGGTGATGTCGAAGTGACCAACATCGAATTTGTCTAATCGATACTGATCAGTAATTGTAGCCTAAAACAATACGTATGCGCCGCATCTATATGTTGACCATGTTTAGTTATCTTTTTCTCCCTTTTGTGAAGAATTCCTCTTTATTGCAAGCACTCGTTATTCCAATACCGTCTGTATTCACTTGTCGTCAGTGAAGTCGACCATAAATCGTTGTGAATTGTCCGTAAACTACTGATTGGCTTTCGATAATACAGTTGATGCTATGCACAGGGCCCGGCGTGAGGTGGGCTAATAACAGGCTGAAAATCGTTTTGGGTGAAAAAAGCAGCTGGATTATCGTTTTTACGGGGTCC